GCTTCTATCCCGAACTAATAAGGATTCTTATCAATAACCAAATACAATTCAATCAACTGCGCTTCCATTCCAAACTAGTTGGAGCCGACTTTTCAATAACTAAATACATTTCAATCAACTACTCCTCAATCTTAAACCAGCTGGTCAGCTAATCAATAATAAAATATAATTCAATCAGCTATGCCTCAATCCCAAACTAGCTGGCCTTAGCTTATAGTAACAAAATACAATTGAATTGACTGCGCCTAACGCCTCTATCTCAAACTAGTTAGGGTCAGCTTATCTAAAAAAAATAGAATCGGCAAAAGCAACAATACTCAACAAACTTCAGTATCTATACAATTCAATCAACTACGCCTCAATCAAAACCAAAAAACAGACGTAATTCTAGGATTCCTTCTAGTTGGACTCAGCTTATCAGTAATAAAATACACAATTAACAAAAACCGTAATACTCAATAAAACTTTAATTGTTTAAACAATATTAAAAAGTGCAGGTTTACTACAGTATATAAAAATTTAAAAAAATTTAAAAAAATACAGTATATTAAATTTGTACCTGCTCAATATCCCTTTCAACTTGTCCACTAGCTCTGTTGGCATCTGAATTCATTCTATCAATTGACACCAAAATCTGCCACTTCCAAAACTAGCCCTAAAATCTCTAAACCCCTCGCATTCATTTAAAATAAAATTTTCAATTCCAATCACATTGAATACAAGTTCTATTCAAAATTCACCAAATGCCCTAGAAAAAAAAAAGTGAAAAATTACTGATTACAATGATCCTATATAGCCCCCCAAAAATTGCAATTTGCAACTACTAAAAAAAAAAAGAGTGAAACTTTTTTTGGGTGTGAAGTAAAAATTCAAGAACTGAAGTGGGTATTAAAAAATAGCTAAAATTAGCAAGACCCAGAAAGCTGAAACTGTGAAAACGATTGAAAATGAGAGTTTTATAGTAAGAAAATAAACGTCACTGCTTGTGAATTTGAGAGAGAGAGAGAGATCAGCTGATAAAAGTGAAGCAACAGAATCTAAGGTTTGATCTGATTTTTTGTTTTTGTTTTGGGCAATGGGTGCAGAGAAGCAGCAAAAACACGCACACACAAAAGTGCTACAGAAGATGACTGATGAGAGAGAGAGAGAGAGAGAGAGAGAGAAGAAAGGTGGACTGAGGAGAATGGAATATAATATTAATATTAATTTTACTTTCTTTAAATTGAGGAAATAGCAGTTACTCCTATTAATTAAAAGTTGTTGTTTTTTAAATGAAACTTGTAGGTCGCTGGAACCGTAGGCGATCTGTTTATCTGAATTTATTCTATGTATTACATAACTAACCTTGGTTGTGTAAGGCCATTGTACCTTTGACATCTGGATTTTTGTGGGCCCTGCCTCATAGTCCTTCCACTTCTCTTGCCTTCTCCAGTTATTTATTTTTACAACAACAATAATAATAATATATCCGATGCAATCTCACAAGTGGGGTCTGAGAAAGATAGCGTGTATGCAAATATCCCTACCTTTTTTTCTTTGGAACCCCAGGAAAACTCGTTGCCGCTACAGCCTCTGCCACAACCTCTACCCTTCGGGTGAGCACTCTGTGCGCACTGGGTAAATCTCCCACTGTGTAATAGCCTGCAAATCACACAGGGGATATAAATTACACTAGGCAAGCTCTGTGCAACAGACTCAGACCCAGAAGTCATTGAGAATGGATCGATCACAGGTCATCACTATGAATAACTCCCTCCATACCAATTGGGTCGTCCCGAAGGATAAAATATCTCTACCTTGTGAAGACAGAAAAATTATTTTTGAAAGACTCTAGGCTCAAAGAAAACATAATCACAACATGACAAAGAAATACAAGTTATTTATTTTTGAAAAAGCACCATAACCTCACACAATTTATATTAGTTGTGTGAGGTATAGAATAAAAAAGTTCATTTGACACATCATATGGTTTGTAAGAATTAACTACTTCGGTCTGTTTTTCGTATGCTTTATTCTTAAATCGCAATTCACATATACGTTTTACATATCTTCAGTATTTCTTTAAATAGCAATTCACATATACGTTTTGCATATCTTCAGTATTGAGTCAAAAGTGTACATTTCTTAAAAAGAAAAATCATATAAGTACTAGATTGTAATTGTTACATTTGACTCATTTCTTATTAATTATTCTTTATTTTAAGTAATTTCTTCTTCTTCTTTTTTTCTTTTGAAGTTTAAGCGTATTCGAATTTATGTCAAGGAAATTTCATTTGAGATTAAGACACTTCCTCCAAAAGAATATTGCATTTAAACTCGAAAGCTCAAATTACGGAGAGGGAGATATTTATCATCTTACCAGAAATATGGTAAGTAAAATTATAAGTATATTGTGATCCTATTTTGTATTTGGAAAGGAAGAAAGGAAATACATATGAAAAGTAAAAAAAAATGAAAAAATAAGATAATTTTTTTAATTTAATATTCTTTGATTTGTAGTTCACCATGGTAAGTAAGAGTGGAAGTTGTGAACTTGTGATACTAATGAAATCTCTAAACATATTTTAAATCTATATTTAGAAATCACATAAATAGCATTACAAATCATTCTTTTGATAAAATCATCTTTTTCTCGTAAAGATATATTTTTAAATATTAAAAGATTATATTGAACAAAAATTTGACTCCCAAATCAAAAGTAATATTGTCATGATTCATGAGTCCAATAATTCTTTCCCCCATTTTCACTCATATTTTCACCTTTTATACATCTCTTCCTTTTTCCTTTCATTTCCTACATTCAAAGCATATGGTTCGAATTCTGTCCAAATTCTCTCCAAGAGAAAAATTCCATTCCAAAATTCCAAAGTTGAAAAAACATTCTGATTCTCCTATACATAATCAAAATTTTCGAATATTTGTTTTGATGTCTCGACTAATTCGGGGTTGCGCTACGTATTCTATCAAAGGGGAAAAACGTTCCAACTGAAATTTTTTCAGTTTGAGCGAGGGATCCTATTCAACCAACCATAATCCTTAGTAGTTAATTATTAACTACAGATAATTTATAAATTCAAAGTTACTCATAGATTATTTCTTTATATTATAAGTTTAATTTTCATTTTTCTTGTTTAATTAATAAAATCCAAGCTACCTGTCACCTTGATGGTTTTAAAAAAGATATCATATTGTTAGCCGTTACAAACACTTAAAAATTTTAATAACCATAAAAATTGCAGCATTTATCACAAAAAATAAAAATAAAAATACTGGACCATTTATTAGGGTTCATAAATGTTTTAGGTTAATTAGAAAGATTAATTCTTGAGAGGTCACTCCACGCTTATTTGAAAGAGTTTAGCTTCTATAATGTAAAAATTAATATTTTGATAAACACTAATGGGATTAGAGTTAATATTTTGAAGAAAAAATTATAGAATATTTGAAAAGATAAATAATCAGTAGCGTCAATTGACTTATTTAAATTAGTCTGTCACATGAGGGAGAGAAGATTAAACACAAAGTGTATTAGACTTCACAGAAAAATAATTCTTTTATCTAGTTTCAAATTTCAAATTAACTTAAAAAGTATTAGGAGTATAGTTTTACATTTACAGACAACCCTATCTTCAAATAGAATTATACCTAAAACATTACAATTCTTCCAATATATTTCTTACTAAAACTTTTTCCAAATCTATAAAAATGTGGACCAAAAAAAAATTATTAAATTAAATAAACAAGTCAGAAATATAATGGAGATGTACCAAAAATACCCTTGACAAGAACACTTGTCTTTCCAACACATTGACAATAACTATCACCATAAGTTTTATGCACTTTTTTTTAGAAAAAAAGGAAAAGATAGAAGGATCCACAAGGGAGAATTATGCAAATTAAAATGGTCCCCTAGTTCCTTTTTACAAAATTATGTTTGGGTAATGTGCTCATCAATTATAAAGTCAACAACCATTTGCCACATGCAAAGATGAAAAGATCTTCAAGCAAAGTACTCTCCACTTTGTGTTCATGCGGGTTCGAGGAAGGGTCATATCCTAAGAATATAATGTAACCAGTCTATCTTGATACAAGTATCAGTGGCTAATTTCACAATTAGAACCCGTAACTCCACGGCTCCAACCCTTGATGTAGGTAGCCCGGTGAACGGCGGAAGAAATTATTTATTCTTGAGAGATATTTATTGTCTAAATATAGCTATCAAAAAGAGACACGCTTTGTCATGTGACGATCCTTGATAAATAGCAATTTGATGCACGAAGTATTACGTGTTCACGTGGGTCGGAGGAAGGGATGCACCCCAAGAGGTGTAATGTAGGTAGTTTACCCTGATACAAGCATTAATGACTGATTCCACAACTCGAACATATAATTCTATGACTTGAACCCGTGATGCAAGAAGCCCGGTGTATGAAGAAATAAGTTATTTATTCTTGAGAGATATTCATTGTCTAAACATAGCTATCAAAAAAAGACACGCTCAGTGGGTTTTTTGACGGTTACCTCTTCAAGTAAAAGTGCTTAAATGGAAAACTCGCAAATTAATAACCATCTGGAAAAATTTAGGGGTTTGTAAAGTCATTCAGCATAAAAGTTAAAAATTGTGACATATTAGGATTTATGTAACCCATGAGACTCATACTTCATTTTGCAATAAGGATAAGTAAAACGTCTCACCTTACACTTTAACTTTTTAAAACACAATAGCCAATTATAAGAAGCGAAGTGATTAACTTACTAAAAAAAAATCATTTCGAGTGAATAAGTTTCATCTTGTCTTTGTTCTAATTGCTGTCAAACATTCAAAGGCCTTATAAATATATAAAATTATGGATCTGGCAATAGTAACTTAACCTTGCTAGATGGCATCAGGCATCAAGTCTAGGTAAGAAAAATCTTAAAAACAACAACACATTTTTTGGATTCAGTGCCAACACAGGCAATAACTAGTTTTGCCACTTAGCTTCTGACAACTTATACTGTCATTAATTTTCTATTATCATACCTCTGTAATTGAGAGTCCTAAAAAAGAGAAAAGGTGACCAGAAATGTCATATCACTTTAGTATCTTCACTCTTGCAACTCCTGTAAGCTATTATATTTGGACTAGGGCCCAGGGCCTCCCTGGTGCTTTTATACACAGAATTCCTACTATATCCAAACATACACACTACTATGAATATAAAAAGACTTTTAACAATCAATCATACAAATAGGATTTAGATTCTATGAAGAGAAACAAATTCCTATTTAAAATTGCCATGTTGCTATTGTTTATTGGTTCATATCCACATCTGCCCTTCAGAGGGCACAGTCTTCACTGAAATGAGAGTGATGCATTTACTTAGATTCAATTGAAGAGATCATCAAGCTATTGCAGCAGCAAGGGAGGTTTATTTTGGTAAACCCTCCTCTTTTGCATAAGTCTTTCCGAAACATCTGATAAAACTGGAACGATACATAGTAGATAAGCTTGCCCCTGCGCAAGGATGACACAAATAGAGAGATGGTCTCCTCTTTTGTACAGTGGAAGTACCTTACTTTAAGCTGAATGACAATAAAGATTACGCACAGTATTCCTATTTCAGCATCAAGCTACAAAATTGGATACAAATATTTTGAACTATACAAGTCCTGAAGAATCTCTTCAAATGCTGGAGTAAAGACGAGTGAATTCAAGTTGCTTTGAACTGTACGAATCAGAAAGAGTACCATCGACACTGAGATCCAACAAATATCTTAAAAACTAATGGACCTGCTATTTTTCTTCTGTCAAAAGCAAATCTTTTAACTCTCAAAAGAACTTGTTTCTTCATCTTTACTAAAGCTACGCAGCATCTCAGCAGCAGTCCTATATATAGCAAATACAAACGGAGTAATTGCTAACATAAAGAATTTTTCAAAATCTTTGGTTTTGCTTGCAAAAAAAAAAACATTATGACTGCTTAATAAGACGACGCTAACCATGGAATTTTTAAAATCTTTAGTTTTTTCTTGCAAAATAGTACATAACATCTTGCTTTTATAATTGGTCATAGCAGGTAGAAAGTCTCAGTAAGATAACATCACAACATAGTAACTACCAAGAAGATAAATGCACATGGTACTACAAAAAGATTAGCCTGCACTTTGTTAATGAATCAAACTTCTAGAGACGGACCGAGATAAGCAAATAAAGGTCTTAAATCAGTTAAAAGATGGCATGAGACACAGCCATTATTCTTCTGTACTTCAAATTGCCATTTTATATTTGAAATTGGATAAGAGAATGCATTCAAAGGGCAAATTATGACATCTAATAACATGATCATCTCACAATGGAGTTATATTCCAAAAATCCTATTAAATAAACATGTTAAAAATACATATGCAGATTCATGCATACTAAGTGGTGTAAGATCAAGTTCTTTAAGTTGGTCTAACCTTATCCGATGATTTGTCTGCAGTGGCATTCCTATCATAGGTGCTCTCCTCAAGTACTCTTGATGCTCAGGAACTTCATCCATAGGACGATGTACAACCATCTCTCCAAGTATCTATGTAATATAGTGTAACTTGTCTAACCTGCCACCATCTCTCCAAGACTCGAACAAAAGGGGCACGTTAAGTATGGTTATCTTCAGCAAATGGAAAAATAGGCTTACTCTTAGCTGAGTTCTTGAACCACCAGTATAAAAGCATATAAAATAATTCTAATATAATCACATCCGAAATTGGTCAACAACTTTTAAAAGGCTATAGGTTTCAGAATCTGGCCTCGCCCCTCCAAGAATCATTCTTTTAAGTAGATTTGGATCATATACCTTCCCCTTAACATACGCCTTAATTAACGTATTGTACACAAAGGTATACCTAGTATAATTTGCTTTCTTCAGTTCTTTAAACACCTTTTCAGCATTCTCTACGTCACCATTATCTGCAAATATTTCGATTATTGAAAGAGTAGTCTCCAACCATGGAGTTGATCTTTTGACCTTTATGCTTGCTGTCATATCCATCCCCAGTTGAAGAGTTTTAATAGCCTCCTTAATTAACCCCGCTGTCAAGCAACCAAGAGCAAGATGCCGATAAGTAATGGCATTTGGCTTGCACCCACTTTTCTCCATCTCCTTATACAATGCAGTGGCTTTGGTGATAAGTCCATGTCTGCAGTATACAGCTATCAAAGAATTGAACTGCTCGTTTGACTTCAAAGAATTCCTTGATTTCATTTCGGACCATAGCTCTTCAGCACGACAGATATCTCCGATCCTACCAAATGCTTCGATCGCCAGGACATAACTCTTAGACCTGACATGGGACAGCTCCATAATGATGCCCCATATCCTCTCCAAATCATTCCGCTTCCCCAAATACCCATAAAGTATGATAAGAATGTCCAATGTAGACCAGTTTCGTCCAGTTGCAGACTTCTCAAGAGCTTCAACATAGGTCTCACAAACTGTATATAACCTAGCCACAGCATGTGCAGTGGCCAATATGCAGTATGATACCTCATTCGGTTCAACTTTTGCTCTATTCATGTCACCGAATACTTTTAACAGGCGTTCAATATTGTGTTCATTTGCTTCTATCTTGAGCAGAATATTAAAGGTCGAGGCATGTGGAATGACCTTATCGGCTTTCATCTGCGTCAGGATTTTAGGTATGGACTTCTTGCGGCTTGGGGAGGAGTGGAGAATAATGAGATGGTTGAACACCAAATAAGATATGGGATGACCCAGCTCTCTCATTTTCTTCATATATGCTAGTGAAAGCCTTATTAGGCCTCTGTTCAAGCACCCAAGTATAAGATTGTTGTAGAGCAACTCATTTTGGAACTCAGATGGTATTCGTGAGAAAAGGCTTTCAGCTTGTGATATCCCATGAAGCTTAGAAGTGAATTCTAGTAAATATGAGTAATCTAGTTCCTTTGGTCTGTAAGGTCTCTCCCTTATAACCCATTCCATCACCTGAGAAAAGTAAACCGCAGAAGATTAAGCATACCGCTCAATATCAATATGATTTCGTTTGAAGTTCCAACTGAGCACCAAATTGTATCCTTTTTTTTAATTGTTAGCATCAAATTCTATTTATTTAATTAATAACTGAATCTAACAATCAAATGCAAGTGAATACAGTCAGATTAAGAACCTCAAAGATTGTCAATAGCAACTACAAACGAGCTTGATTTGACATTATGATAAGTAAGACTTGAGAATGAGCTCAACAACAGTATAGAGCAAATTCAGTCATGAAAATGCCAGGGTAGCTCACTATGGAACACACCACTCTGCAGCAGCTTACCTGAAACATGTGACAGAACTGTGCAAGACAAAGTTTTCCTCTTTCCGTAATAACATCACTACTATTACCCCTTAGACTTAGATTTCTCAAACAAGCACATCGAGTAAGTGCACTGTAGTGATTTTCTCAGTAGGTTGAATATTTCACGTAATTCATAATAGGTAAAATGCCCGTGTTCAGATTTGGCAAGAGGGGGCAGAGTAAAAGAACCTCAAGACCGCGCTTGATGAATTTGAGCTTGCGCAAACGATTGATAGTATGGAAAATATCACCTCTATGAATAGGTAGACCATCACCCATCCAGCTTTGGAAAGCGGATCCGATGTACTCTCCTTTGGGTACACTTTCAATTCTTTGACTTAAGCTGTTCCTTGTTGCCAACATTCCCTGATCTACCAACCTTTCTTCTCTTTTTGATTTTGAGTTCTCATTTGCATCGGATACTTTTGAGCAAAAACTGTGACATGAATCAATACTTTGTTTGTACAAAGATATAACAACTGTTGGATGAATTGCACTAATGATCCTCTGTTGCCGCAAAATGGTTATGAAATTCATTGTCGATATGTCAAACAAAACTTACTTTACTCATCAGGACTGCTTAAAGGAACGAATTGTTCTGATATTATGCACTCAGCGCCACTAGCTCCGCAGAAACCATTAGAGTGAACCTGCCACGGGTTGATAAAAACAAAAGATTAGGAGTCATTTTGGCTTACCAAACCAGTAAATAAAAATAGCTTCAAGCTCTGATGACTCTAGTTTTAGCCTTTTAGGACAGATCTCATTTACAAAATGCATTAGATTTGGATACAATATCAATACCCAGAGCAAAACAAATCTCCTATCCTACGAGTATATTATAATTAGCACTAGTGCACAGAAAACTACGTGATGAAAATATTACACTACTTAAGATTGACTTGTATGCTAACCTAAAAAAGACTTGGAATAGCATACAGATTTGCAGCTAATTTCTCATGGATTTATTGGTGCTGCACATTTTTTCTTGGCGGGAACGACTTATGATAGAATCTGCCTTGTTTATCTTGACGAAGACTTGGAGCAAAAATTGTTAAGTGGATATGCTGTATGATTTCACTGACATTCTCATGCATTACATATAATCATTTGTTTATCTGTTCGAATAGGCATGTGACAAAATGAATAACATTTGAATAAGATCAGATTTAAAAAAAAAACATGGTCTTAAAGTTCTAGTCTAACAAATTAAGCATAAAATAAACACATATATAGACACCAAAATAGTTCACAGTTATTAGAGTTTTGGTTAAAAATTAATTCAAGTTACATTCCAATAAGGGGTATGAATTTTTTACCCACTACATAAGAGATTTAACAATTTTGGATAAATCCAGAGAATATCATCCATATCATAGAGAAATATGATTGTGTCATCAGCTGCACTTTCCAGTACATCATATTCTATCTATGACAAACCAAACAAATCATTAGAACAAATCCAAAACCACCTAGAAGGCAGATTTAAATCGGGGAAATAGCAATTTTAATCCTTGTGTTATTGTTTAATTTCAATTTTGGTCGCTAATTTATTTGACTAAGCACTTATAACCTTTAATTAGTTCAAAAGTCTGGTTTTGATCCTTAAAGTTAACGAAAGTTAAATATTTGTGAACATATTTAACTTGTTACCTAATTCATAACTAGAATTCAACTTGTGCTTTCTACTAGGGCTGCTTATAGGGAAGATCGGTTGGATATTTGCGCTTAATGGTTCGATTGATACTACTCCACTAGCCAACTGCTTCACAAGGTAGGGGTAAGGACTGACTACATACTACCCTCCCCACTTGTGGGAATAAACTGGGTATGTTGTTCGGTTGGTTCGGTATCGGTTTAGCGGTTATCGGTCGGTTATCGGTTAAATCAACAGGTCATCCGGCCTAAAATGAAAAATCAAAACATTACTGCCTAACCTAAGTTTTCATTTTGCTTGCAATTTCTGTGAAATTCTGCTGAAACAAAAGCACATCGATAAATCAAATTTATCCAATGATAATAACTAATTTGTTCAAAGAATATGTCACTTAGCGAAAGCTACGAAGCAAATACAAGTTTATGTTTGCGATATATGTGTAAAATTGCAAACAACAATGGGAATAGAGCTACCTGATTAAGTTTGGATTGTGGACTCCGGTTCGGTCGCTCTAGACTTGGAGGCTGGAGTGAAGGAGTAGAGAATTAGGAATATTTGCAAAGTAGGAATTAAATTTGGGAAAATTTCATATAAGAACAACTGATTCCTTACTTTTCAATTTTATAGCTCACATTTCAATTTACAACCAACTAGCCCAAAAATAATAGACTAAGATTCAAATGTACAACTCCAATAAGTTCTCGAAATTACTATTTAATTTTTTAAAAAATTGCTCAAACTTTTAAGTTAATTTTCGAATCAGTAACTGTAACTCAAATATTAGTTCAACAAGCCAAATCCATTTAGGTGGTAAAAATTAGATTTTTAACAAGTTTAATATGTGGATTTAAATTTCGAATTTGATTTTGTGAGAAATTTAGAGTGGGTGTTATTTAGATTTGTTAGAAATAGTATAAGGAGGTTGTATATAAAATTTGAAGTCATTTAATGGAGATTTGGACTGGTTTTGAACAAGAATTGCAACTGAAAATCGTGGAAGAAGTTCGTCTACGTACGCTTGTATAAAGGTGTATAAAAGTGTATAATAGTGTATAAGATGTGTTTATACACTCATATACACTATTATATAAGATTATACATAATTATATAAAAGACTAACTTCGTCTTCTTCTTTGCGTCTTTTCTGAAATTGAACTCAAATCTACTCCAAATCACTTCAAATTTAAATTTTGAACTCATTTTAATATTTTCAATCAATTGGAACAACACCCAATCCAAATAATTAACAAACTCAAAAAATTCTATTTTCGAAAGCAAAGCTTTGAATGGTCTTCAATGGTGGACTTCTACTCTTCAATTTTCTTATATTGCAGCCAGGTAACATAGAGGGGGTAGCAGAAAATACACGGCCCCTTGAAGCATATGTAGAAGATGTGAGAAGAAGAGAGACTGAAAGCAATGGTTGTGAGAACACATATTTAACTCCATAGCTTTTAGAAGCAATGGTTGTAAGAACACATATTTTGAATTTGTTAGTGCTTTCAAAATATGTATAATACGGGCTAGGTCGAGTAAAACTTAAAAACATGGGTCATTTTTTGTTATGGTGTGAAGTCACGTGTATTTTTTTGTAATTCATTCATTAAATTTGGATGTAATTATACAATTTGATATATTTATCTAGTCAAGTAATTGGGTATAATTAAAGGGGTAAAATTATATTATTCAATTCTCAAGGGGTGTGTGAATTGCTGGTAGTAATTACAAGCTAATGTAACTTTAAAAAAAATTATTTTCTTTTTTTCAAATATATTAAGTACTATTATTTTTAAACTATTTCTCTTTCATTTTCTTTAATCCTCCCTTTTCAACAGTTTAATGTGTTCATTACGGTGTGCTTCCATATAATTTTGTAACTTCTCGTATATTTTTTTTCTTAGTCGTTAAACACAATTTCGTAGTTTACTAGCATTATTTTCTATCATTAGTAAAAATAATTTATAAGAAAAATACCTTCAAAATTAGTATTGTATAAGGTAGGTCTGGGTATAGTAAAAAATCCACGTGTACAAAAGCACCTGGAAAGGAGGCCTTTAGTCCAAATATAATGGAATAGCATAGAGCAAAGATACTAAAATGACCATAAGGGGTCGTTTGGTAAGAGGGATAAATAAAAAATAGTGTTGGGATGAAAATTTAATACCACCTTATACATTATTTGGTTATTAAATTTGGAATAAGTTATTCCGGTATTAAAAATAATACTCGGATAACTTATAAATAGTCCAAAAAATCTATTGTCCTTTTTTTTTTTTTTTTTTTTTTTTTTTATTACCTAGAATAGATGCCTGATGCCATCTTGGATTAGATTAAATGCCTGATGCAAGCATAAGTCCCACGATTTTTAATTTTTAACAGCTTAAGAGATAATAGCATCTAAAAATAGATTAAATTATAAAAATGGTGAGAAATTACACTAAGGGTCCTGTTTGGAAAGCCATGTGTAATTATCTGACCGTTTCAATTATTAGGGTAATAATTGCACACTCTGGTAATTACACAATATAATAATTACAATGATCTGTTTGTTTGCCACAATGTAATTATAATGTAATTTTTACTGTTATGTTTGATCGGACAAGTGTAATTTCATAGTTAAATACAAAAAATTCAAATTAACATGTGGATAAATTTTATGATATGGCATGTATGTGAATCATAAATATCAAAAAAGTAATTAACTAAGAGGTATTTAGAACAAATATTTTGCCGTAAAAATATGTTAAATAATTATAAATTAATAAATAATATCATAAAAAATAATTGGTATCTTAAATTACTTAACTTGACTTCTTTCAAATAATTAATGTCTTGATTTAAAACAATTATAAAATCTTCAATTATGAATTTAACTTTTTCTACAAACTCATATGAATACAATATGAAATTTATAATTTATTGTATTTTTAAATTAAAAAAATAGTTATGAATTTTGAAGGTATTTTTCTTATAAATTATTTATACTAATGATAGAAAATAAAGCTAGTAAACTACAAAATTGTGTTTAACGACTAAGAAAAAAAGAAAAAAAAGAAGCAAAATATGAGAAGTTACAAAATTATATGGAAACACACCATAATCAACACATTGTAAGGTTGAAAAGGGAGGATAAGAGAATTGGAAGAGAAATAATTTTAAAATAATAGCAGTACTTAATATATTTGAAAAATGAAAATAATTTCTTTAAGAGTTACATTAGCTTGTAATTACTACCACCAGTTCATACATCCACTTGAGAATTGAATAATATAATTTGACCCCTTTAATTACACCCAATTACTTGACTAGATAAATATATCAAATTGTACAATTACACCCAAATTTAATTCCTGCTTTGTAAATATTCCTAATTTACAACTTTACGCTGCATATTTGCAAGAGGCAATTTCCGCAGCACTACTACGAATATGACCCAAAAAAAAGTTGAGGATACAGAGTCTTCAATGAAATGATAGTGCTGCATTTACTTAGATCCAATTCAAGGGATCATCAAGCTACTGTAGCAGTAACTGCAGGGAGGTTTCCGATAAGATCGGAACGATATAGATTAAGTAGGCATGGCCTCTGTTCAAGGATGACACGCACAAATAGAGAAATGGTCTCCTCTTCTATATAAAGGAAGTACCTTACTTCAAAACAAAATGACAATTGACAATATATATTACTCATAGTATTCCTATTTCAGCATCAAGCTACAAAATGGGATACAAATCTTTTGAACTATACAAGCCCTGAAGGATCTCTTCACATGATGGAATACAGGCGAGCGAATTTAAGTTGCTTTTGAACTGTACAAATCCAAAGGAGTCCTATCGACGCAGAAATCCAACAAATATCCCTAACTAATGGACCTGTTACTTTCCTTCAGTCAATATCAAATCTTTTAATCCTCAAAGGAACTCGTTTCTTCTGTTTCATCATCTTCACTAAAGCTACGGCGCATCTCTGCAGCAGTCCTATAGCAAACACAAACAGAGTCATTGCTAACCAGAAAGAATTTTACAAAATCTTTGGTTTTTGCTTGCAAAATAGTACGTAACACCTTGCTCTTATAATTGGTCATAGCAGGTAGGAAATTCGATAAGATAACATCACAACTTAGCAACTGCCGAGAAGATAAATGCACATGTACTAGATAATATTAGCCTGCACTTTGTTCATGAATCAACCTTCTAGAGATGGACCAAGATAAGCAAATAAAGGTCTTAAATCAGTTCTAAGATGGCATGACACACAGCCATATATTCTTCCTTTTGAGAAAAAAAATATTTTGAGAAGGACAGCCATATATTCTTCTGTACATCAAATTACCATTTTAAATTCGAAATTGAATAAGAGAAGGCATTCAAAGAGTAAATATGACATCTAGTCACAGATGCAAATTCATGCATACAAAGTGGTGTAAGATCAAGTTCTTTAAGTTGGTCTAACCTTATCCGGTGATTTGTCTGCAGTGGAATTTCTACCACAGGTGCTCTCCTCAAGTACTCTTGATGGTCAGGAACTTCATCCATTGGACGATGTACAACCTTTAAATTTTAATTTAGAGAACCCATAAGCATGTCCAAACCAAAAGGAAATTGCAAGAATTAACCAAAAACAACCATAAAGCTTACCCTTGTCTCATTGTGCCGCGGAACCTTCACACGAACTAGATCGTGGTTTTCATCAACTGCTGTCCTTTTTCCACTGATGTGATCCTATATATTATTTCAAGAAATAGGTATCAGGATTTGCTGAACCACAAAACAACGTAACATAAAGCAAATATGGTACTATACTATACCTTTTCCACTATTTTGGGGAGCTCTTTCCCCTCAAAATTATGATAGTTAATTCCCTTATAATCAGAAGGCTTGCAATCAAAATGTTCCTTCTCAACAGCCTTAAGGCTCACTTCACTGTGGCTACTGAACCGAGGTTTCAATTGCTCCCCGTTGACTTTTCCAAAATAAGGACTTCGAAGACCATTGCTCGAGCCAGTACTAGCTCTAATTTCTGCACGTCCATGTTTGAGCATAAACTTACAGCTGTCTCTGCTGTCAGCTGCAATTTTTCTTGCAGGGCCTTCATACATGTCTAATGACGAGTTCCACTTAGGATATTCATTATGCTCAGAGGAATTCGGCTTAGGCTTTAGGTTGAAGTGATATTCAGGAAGAGCGGAATTGGTTTTTCTTTTGAATCTCAAACCATCCAGATCAGAATCATGCGAGTTGGACTTGGAATTGGATCTGTGTCCCTGATGGGGCAATGCAAAAACAAAATATGTATAATTATAGAAACCACATATCACGAGACTTTGGTTCAGATAGTAAGATCTATATGGTAACTTGGAAAGATGAGTGGCCCTAAAAAACAAGTAAAGCACAATTCTGTTTTAGTCCATCCTAAAAATTAAAAGATACGTATATAAAAAGGAGTGATTTTTATTCCTAAGACAGAGGTTACTTCAGAGTACAGACTATTTATTGATTCCCAAGAAAGGTAAGTGACAAACGAAATCACTGGTGTAATCACAAAGCAGCCTTTCTGTAAGAATTCAGGAATTCT